TAAAGTTTTGTTTGAAATGTAGAAACGTTAATTATAAATGATAAAATGAAATGTCTATGTTTCCTGAATAGTACAGTTTATATATATTTATTTGAAATACTTTTTAGCAAAACAAAATAAATATCATTATCAGTCTTGAAAACTGTTAAGACAAGATTGCCTATACAAAAGCAAACACTAACTGATTTTCTATGCATAACACATGTTAAGCAAATATCTGAAATGAATTATATTATGTCATATGATTTGTTTGAAAGTACCTATTTTTGTGTAAAACTGTTTAAAAAGAGCAAACAATGCAACAGCAGGTTATCAATAAACTACTCAATGTCCAGATGTATTTTATCAAATTGATTGGAAAAGATATTGGACTGTATCTAATAGCTTGTTTTGTCTTAACAGATTACCACTAATGAAATCTTTCTTAATTAATTATACACTGGGATTTACATCAGTATTTGCAACTTATATTTGATTCAGTATCATTTTTTCTTCTGCAATAATTCTTCATATTAATAGTTGAGGCGAAAATGACCTGGAGTTATTCTTTAAGTGGATGTTCATATGTGAAATATGCTTTCGTGCATGCATGTTTTAGTGGCTGGAGATCTGAAACTAATTTGAAAGAACAATTAAATACACAGTGAAACAAATATTTTATTTAGGTGATATGAAACCCAATACGGATTCAGTTGGAGGAGTTTTTTGTATGCGATCGTCAACGCAGACAGACATGATAAAAAGCGCGAAAGTTAAGTGGAGAAACTGAGTGAGCAAACTCAATATTATGATCTTTCTTTTAATTAGAGTTATGGAGACCAGTGTTTATACATAATGAAAACATCGACCATCATTTTTAGCCCACCATTAGAAAACTGGAAGCACTGGATGGCAGTTTCGTCCTGGTGTGAGACACCAGCAGTGCGCACGCACGACTCCTACAGATCACAGGATTCGAACCCCGGACCTTCAGTTTTGCGCGCAAGCGCCTAAGCTCTGGACCACTAGGCCAGCCTCCAGCGGTGTTAGTATGTAACTCTAATCAATCTAGAGATTTTGCGCGACCTTACCCATTTGACCACTGGAGTTTAACCCTGTCAGATGTAGGCAGTAACTACCTAAGACTAATGGGTGAGGTCACGCGAAATCTCTATACTGTTCAGAGTTAGAGATTATCGTCTCTGGATGCCGGTACAGTGCTCCAAAGGTTAGGCGCCTGCAACAAAACCGAAGGTCCTGGGTTCGAATCCTATGGGGTGCAGATGTCATGGGTGCCCACTGTTGGTCAGTCCCAAACCAGGACGAAACGGCCGTCCAGTGCATCCAGGATTCTAATTTTGGTCTAACAATGATTGATTGATGGTTTCACTGTCAATGTGATGAGGCTTGATTCAGTATTTATAGTCAGACAAAGCAAGCGATGCACATACGCTTTTAAGTGGAAAAACAACTTAGATTATAGTCCAATAATTGACAAGGTTGAAAGACGAAAGAGTAACTCTTGAAGAATGATTTTATTTTGGCCATAGGCTAACACAGGCTCTATGGGCCTGACATATCAGAACACATTAAAATGCGTATGTATAAATCTCACTAAAAATCTTCTGGTAATCTTTTTACAAAAAATAATGTAATTCATTTAGCACAGACAAGCTTCTGATTGTTCAGTCATTCATTTGAGAGTAATTTTTGCCTAAATTCCAGTGACGTACTTGTGCTAAGTAATTACTATTGATAGCTTCACCGGCCTTTCTAAAGAGAGTGAAAATGTACATGGTTCTAGTTACGGACTGATCTTAGAAAAACAATGAAAACCCGGAGCACTGGAGTCAAACATTAGTTCTGTCGGATGTTGGCTCATTGATCTAGAAGTTAAACTTTTTAATTCCTAAGATGGATTTCCAGATACCCACTTTTGAGGACTCTTACACAAAGGCAAGATGACCATCCATCGTTTCGTGGTTTTCATCGTTGGTACAAATGAATTCATTTCATGATCTGAACAATCAAATCCTCCCATACTAAGGATGAGTTACCTTATAATCAGAAATTATTGATTATATAATTCTGTATTTGTCACGTTTATTTTATTAACTCAATAAAACTATTCCCTGCTAGATAACGCACGTTAATAAACAAAATTCGTTTGTGTTTGTGTTCACTGAGAAACATAAATTCGAACACAATAACCATGGTTAGCTTAGCTCAAAGATTAGGTTTCTAACTAAGTAATTAACTTTTGCTACAATTAACACTATTCGTAAGACGTTTCAACGATTATTCGGTGGAAGATTACACTTACTGAAATATGACCAAGAATCGGTATACTAGCTTATAGCTATCCAACTACATTCAGTGTCAGGTCAACTTTTTTCTGTCAGTTATCTTTCACACTTACATGTTATTACATATATTAATGTGTAATTTTTGAACGAAAGATTCCATCTCTGCTAACTAGAAGTAATCCAATCGTGTATATATCGCTAATAGCAAGTGACTGTTTGCAGTTCGTTATTGGAAACCAGATATCAGTTTATTAGCAAATATCCCACTTCCTATCCAATATAGTGATATAATTTAGAGCTGATACTAGTAAACAAATCGAAGTTGAACTATAGACAGAACACACTTATGTTCAACTTACACTGATGAACTGAACAAGGTTTGGTACTTATTTAAAATATTAAGTAATTTGGGAATACTTCAATTCATAATATATATATGTGCATATTTCAATGCCGTAAATTTCTATGCTCACATGACTGTATACAAACTAGTTTATTCCTTGTTAGTGCACTTGATTAACTTCTAAATATTATTTATAATTTATAGTTCAATATTAATAAATAATAAATCTTTTGACTTCAAACCATTCAGGTCTTCTTTTGTTTACTAAATATTAGTATACTCTGAAATGTTTTTGTTTATGACAGCATGTGGAGAGTAATAATCTATAATTTAACTCGTATCCCTTGTCCAATGCATTACATATAACTGCATGTGAAGTCAGATATAGAGAAAACAATTTCAACTGGTTTTTGTTGCTAAATCCATACCAGGACGAAACGGCCGTCCAGTGCTTCCAGGGTTCTAATGGTGGTCTAACATTGATCGATTCATTGTTTTAAAAAATGTGTAAATTCATATGACTCTCAGTATTTTTTTCCACAATAAACAAGAAATAATCAGTAGAGATTTCGAACATGGTTTTTGGTAAAATTAATTGTTTTGATGATTTAAAGTTTTCAGATTAAGAAATCAAGTTGGAGTCGACAAAATGATGCATTCCTGATGTTAGTCAAATGTACTGATAGGATATAGACGTTTGATGTGTGCAACTCTTGTACTAATCGGCAAATGACAACACATGAGAGAGAATTGGACTTATCGATCAGAATTTATCAGCTAAACGGTAGATTAATTTACTTAATTAGAGCAACAAAACGAACGAATCATAGTTCTCAAAAACGTTTATCTATTTATAGAACAGTTCGAATTTTTGCATACTAATTTTGCAACTATAAAAACCTTTGGTAATTAGTAACTAATAAATGCATCATAACTTCATCAGACTGTTTTGTCAAATAATATTCTTATGACAGTTATAAATTCAAACAAATGACCTGCACAATAAATAAAATTTTCCTTAACTGTTCATATGAGATGATGCATATAGTCTGAACTGTGCATAAAATCTGATAGAAGTATCAGATGTCACTAACTGGTACAGTAGCACTTCTTCTTTACTAAATTTATGGTAGCTGTCGATTCCTATGCTATCTATAAACCTGTAAGCTATGTTCTTATTCGTGTTGAGAAGTAATGGCACTCCAGCAGTTCATCTGAGTTTTTTATTTTACTTAGACGATACTTGCTGCAAAGGCTTCCAAATTACCCATTAATTCAACATTTTGAAAACTAATATTTTCGCTTGCCTAAACACAAAGTTTCCTATACAAAATCGACTCCTAGAAAGACTGCAGCTTGCAACGGTAGTAAAGAATAAATGCTCTTCATTCGGTCTTCTGTCAAAAGGTGGAACCATCAACTTTGTTCATGAAAAACATGTAGTATATCATGGATGTGAATCAGTAGCTACCTGGTTTTTGTGAACACTTCATCTACCATACGAACAAGGGTAAAGGACCGAAATCCGAAAACAACAGCCTGCCTAATTTTTTATAAGCGAGATGATGAAGATGTTATCGGTTGCTGAAGATGGACTTTCATTCTAAATACATACTGTATGCAAAAACCGCTCTCTTTGCGATGGCTATCTTATAAAATAAAATGACAAGAAACTTGATTCCTATAAACTGTAGTTTGTCTGGTTTTCTCTTTTTCAGTTGGAGGTATAATACCAACAAACATCTCTCGAAATATTACCTACCTTGCTGTTCAGTAATTAAATGCGAGACGATATGAGAGTGGTAATAAAATTTTGAAATACTACTCTTATGATGTTGATAGTTTCTATTCATCAGGAATTGTGATCTAAACCGAAGGCTTAGAACTACGTTCTGATTGGTCCAATGTTTACGGAAATACAATTTCAAAGATATAAAGAATCGATTTCCGTAGACATTCCGTTACTTCAGCGAATATGGTCTAAAAATATTGTCAGGAACTTTATCTGTTGCATGATACTATCATTATTTCTGTCCTCATAATTAGCTAACAGTTAAAAGCTTAAAAAGATAGTCACTCTAGTCAGGTCATATTATTATATGTTCCTCCGGGAAATAATTCTATTGTCGGTGACCGAATCATACTTGGAACTAGAGACAGAGATTGTTTTTCGCCTTAGAAAGTCACTAGGTAGTTATTTCCGTAAACTTAGATTTTTATTCTAATAGTCATTATTTTCTTACTAACTTTCAGTAAGAAATTTTAACTAGTTCCACGGATGAACGAATAACAACATTCAATACGCATTACGATATAAACATATATTTTGTAAATACCTGTACAAAGTAACTTAATAACAAAAAAAAAGTAAGCACTAATCACAGAAGTTTGTTGTTTGCGCATTTATAATGTTATTATTACGAATAACCATAGAACCTGAACATGGAAGTCCATGATGATGATAATGATGTTCATCAGGTGGAAAATGTGTTACCGAAGAATTGCTAGTTTTCAGGCTTCCTCTACATAGTTTAGAATGGTTTTTCAATGTTGATGTATCCAGTAATTTGCTGTTGCATTCAACAGAATTATCAATTTTTCTTGGTTTTTGGAATGAATAAAAGTGTTTAACGGTTGGGAAACTTGGCAGTGAACATGTGACAGTTGATAAAATTGAAGTTGTACATAAATTCTTCTCCTCGTCATTGGCATCATTCATTAATTTTGGCTGAACGTTTTTTATGCATACCAATGTCTTATTACTTAAATTATGTGAACTAGGATAAAGGTCAATCATATCTGTGTCATTTAAGCATTGTTTATTATGCAATTTTGTACAATTCGGCTTTCGTAATAAATCCTCTTTTAGAACATATGTTGAATTCATAAAACAGTCATCTGATGTTATTGTCTTTAGATATTCATTATTATTTACATAATTATGCTGAGTAAATGGTAATGGACAATGTGAATCATGTATACTTTGACAATAACAATTTTGTCCAATTGTACTGGGTATCATTGAATTGGAACGTAATGTTTTAGAATTATCTAATTTTGTTGGAGCTAATGTATGACAAAAAATATCTGAATTGTCGCATAGTATTGTTTCGTGTTTAGATGAATCAGGATTTTTTAAAATTAATGCCATATTATTATTATTTGTGGAATAAGTAGTAGATTCACCAAAGTTCAATTTCCCATCTAAAGGATTCAATGATCCAGCTGTACATGTAGCTAATAATGGAGGTAATGATAATGCAGATTCAGTTGAAGTACAAGGTGTATTAGATGGTGTTAATGGATTTAATTGAAAAGATGATTTCAAATCTAAATTTTTGGTATTTAATAATGTTGAATTAAGCGGTAAATCTGGATTCAATAAATAATTTGGTTGATAATATTCTTTATTATATAATCTTGATGGACTTGAATGCTCACTGTAACCATTTTTTGTTAAGACTGATAATGATTTCTGCATAGATTGATTTTGTTGTGGTTGTTTTCCAAGTAGAGTTAATGTTCTTCTTTGTAAAAATAATCGATATTTACGATAAATTAATATAAGGGTGATACAGAATAAAATAAGTAGTGCAAACAATCCGAGTAATATCCAACTTAAATGAACTGTTGTTAAACACAAAGCATAATTACATGATAATCGATCACGCGTGGATGTCAATGATGATGTGGACTTCATGTCTAATTGATGATTTGATGTTATATAACTTGGACTGAATCCATTATTAGTGTTATATGCTACAGTAAATAAAGTTTGAATTTAAGAGGAAAGATAGATAGTTAATCGGAAAATGGACAAGCTGTAAAAATATAGGATGTTACATGTATTTGTTTGATCATACTAAAATACAAGCGTAGTAAAAGGACTGTAAAAACTATTACCGATTTCATTGGATGAATTATACCTGTAAATTCATTCAAATTCGGTATGTAAGTATAATGTATAGACATAATCAGCTTCGAGGTTTAGTCAACTTTTTAGCTTGACCAGAATGTAGGAAGGAGTTGGCCAAGTTAATTTTAAACTTTACTATTCTGAGTCTCATATTTTATTTAAATACTATATCTGTCCAACATTCTGAAAGAAGTGGAGTATATTGTATTCTCAAAAATTCTAAAAAAGTCCTCCTGATTGTTAAGGACTTTTACTATCTTGGGGTAGATACTGGCTTTGAGTAATGGAGCGAACTCAAACTCTGAGGTGAAAGTTTATCCTTCTGTCCAGCTCCAGATAGGGATAAAAACACCTCCCAGATCACGCTGCTGGTCACCATCTGACTCTGTCTATAATGCTTGTGACTTATAGACAAAATCAAGGTGAACCTCATAGGATATGCATAAGTCAAAAGAGATTAAACCCCTGTAGTTCACAAAATCAATGGGAACATTCAAGTAACCAGTAGATATTAAGCTGATAGATAAATGATGAAATAAATGTACTTTAAAAAATTCATGTCGTATGTGAATATGCTAGCAACGACTATTGATATACAAAGTTACAATCTAGATATGCTTTATTTGTTATTGAAACTTAGTGGAAAGCAAGATCAGTATATAAGCTAAAAACACGATGTCAGAATTATATATTGATTAAACTGTTTCGATAAGATCTGTCAAAACGTTTTCATCGGCATAAAGGGAATGATTTTTTCCTGTTTCAAAAGTTCTATTATTAATAATGTGTACATGACCAAATCATTTTTACCAACAAACCTCAGCATATATAGATAAACAAAAGGTTATAGCTGAAATAAATGAAACAAGCTTAATCGAAAATATATATTTGATTCATAAACAGCTTAGCACAAACATATTTAACACATATTTCTTATTGTTTCCTGTTTATTGTAGAGATTACATGTAGATAAATGCTTTCTAAGTTCATTCTTTCATTTTCTAAAACATTTAGGTGTTTTATTGTTTTCTCCTTAAGTAAAAGAATTTTACATTAATTTAATTAAGCCAGCAAACAGATTTATTTTGATGTTGTTATCTTTGGTCCAGAAGGAAATGCGGAATTTATTCAATCATACATTTAATGAAGTAAAATCCTTTTGATGGTATAATTTTTAAATTTTTGTTTTTTCCGAAATTTTTAAACAACCACGTGTTCAACATGTACTTAAGTTGATATTTTCTATTGAAATAAGGTGAGGAAAAAGCAATTTTCTCTACAAACGTATCTCAGTCGAAGAGTCATTGAGGGAAAAGTGAACTCAATCAAAACGTGAAAAAAAAGAATAATGGTTAACTCACTTTGATGGTGTTTTTCGTTCACTTCAATATGAGCGTATGTATGAGTACGAAAATAGTAACCGTCACCTTTGTAGATATTATGTTCATGGTTATTGCCTGCATTGGTATTTGGAATTTCGCTAACAAATGGGATGATATTGTCTTTTCCAGTTATCTCGGATAATTGAACCTTGTGTATTGTATCATCGGTTCTACACTTTGCCTAAAATATCAAAATCCGATAACAAGAAGTTGAGTTTGTTTGCATAAACTTCATTTATAAACAATTTTTTCAATCTTTTAAGTTTATCAATTTTACTCAGTTACAATACAGCGTATTACCATCCAGTTCTATGAGTAAATTTATATGTAAATATCATTATAAAGATTAAAACACCAGAACTATGAGTCCAAAAATCCTGTTCAATTTTTCTTCTTCAATTTTGTGGATAACGAACACAAATGTCAATAATAAGTGCAATTACCCATTTTCATAACTTAAGCTGATATAGTTTGATGAGTAATAATGACACTGTTTTGACAAAACTCGACAATTCATTCAACATTAAATTCATTTCATAACCTCTTACCAAGTTCATTTCATCTTATACATCAAGCAGTCCATAAGTCGAATGTTCAACCTTATAAATAATAACATTATTGCTGTTCTCAAATTATGTTATTTAAATGAATTATGAATTAAATCTAAATAACTTTAAGTCGACCCATGAACAAATCATTTCATATTATTTCACTAATAATGTTAAATTCGGACTTTATTTTAAGAAATGTACATATTATAAATTTAATTATTCATTCTGATCATTAATTTTAATTTACAATTATGAACTATGAATGAATAGAGAATTAATTAATTCACATCTCTGTCTTAATGTAAAAAAAAATTTAGTGACGAATAAAAATTTACGTTCAAAAATTTTATAGACATTTCATAATTGACAACAACTAAAAGCTTTTTAGAAATTTTGATAGAACAATGAAAAGATGGAGTTAGTCTAAAGAATGTGATGTATTTGAGCCATACATTTCGAACAATCTAGGAGCTGCAAACGAAAAATTCACAGGCTGTTCACCAATTATAACCTTCTTATATGTGTAGAAATAATTTTGTCGTGATCTTGGATTTTTAGGCCACATTATAGCCTTAGATAATGCGACGATTTCTTAGTCTTTTCATATTGTTTATTTTCGTACACCATTACTTCCAATTATCACCTTATGTTTAGTTGAACTGTTATTTAGTTGACCTTTCATTTATTTTCATATAAAATGCTTTGACAAGCATATGTGAGTAGTTTAGCGCAAATACATTATATTTTTCAGATAAACTCCACCTTCTCGTTATCCAACCGCAATTTCATATTTTACAATTGAACTGTTTATACATAAATAATTTTGTTTCATTTTCTGAACAGAAACCAGAGGAAATATCTACCGGTCATAAAAATATCATGTTTTAGCTTCATTTGGCACCGGTCTAAATACACACATTCTTTACCTACTTCCTTTTTTTTAAAGATTGTATGCACAAGATTGGGACTGTAATCTTAAAATATTCTTAGGCTAATTAACTGTAATTTCTGAAAAATTTTCTATTCATGAAACAAACTATTGTTGTTTAATTCAACATGGGTGTTTATCAGCAGAGGTGGATAATGACTAACAATGGACTCCAGAACATGCGTTTTGTCCTGGATAACGCGATAGCGATAGGAACGTAAGATATATACATAGTTAACTAGTCCAAAACAGGGTGAAGAACGTATCCTAGATTCTATTGATAGCTACTATTCAACTCTGCTAATGGTGCTTCTAAACTGAAGACAATATCGAGGCGATCCGCTCAGAATGCATATATAAAATAGAGATTGATCAATTACAGTCCTGAACATAAATGGGAAGATTCAAACGGGCAATACAAGTGAATAGCTGTTTTGTTTTACATTTTATTATCGTTACATTTAATTGGTCAGTTTGTGATGTTACGACTTTATCATTTAATATTATTCATACCAAGCCTAGATATAAAATGACTTTCTTTTTCAACATAGTATGGTTTGTGCATGTTAAAATTAACATAGTTTCTGATATTAGGAAGGATATAGTTTAACCCAAGGAAATACAAAAGACCAATGACATAAAAACATCAGTAAACATAAATGCCGAAGAGATTGAACACGTTCGTTTGGCTAATAGTTATCAATTCGGGTCCCATCTTAACAAAATAATGATTTGTTTGTAAATGTTGTGTTGAAATTGTTTTGTAAAAACAGGTCAATATATTGTTACTATTTAATAATTATTTACTTTTTAATCATTAAATTGATCTGTAACATTTAAATGGATCATATTAAAATGGTCTACTGTATGTTTACTCTGGAACTGTATTTACTTCAGTTACATGTTCACTGGTTACCTAAGTTTAGAGTAGATGATTTGAAATTTTTAGCTGTTAATCAATGAGAATTGTTATCTAGTTTACATACTTTAATCACGTACTGATTTGTTGTTTAAGACGATGGAACTTGATGTTGGTTAAAACTACGATGCGATACTAAATGTTCAACGAAATCAAGTGTATTAACTAACAAAGAAAGTAAGTAGAAATATGTTTCAATCTATTTTACAGTTTTTAAAAAACTCATAAAGATGGACTTTCGATAAACATCAATTAGAGACAAAATGTATTTTTACTTGGATAAACTTAAAAATTGTGTTATAATAACTGTTGTCTTGAAGCTTCGTCATTTATTTTCATGTCTACTTGAGTCAGCAATGACTTTAAAATTAATCCTAAGCTTAAGTCAAACGGAAATAATCAAGTGTTTTTTATACAACTGTTAGATGAACGGATAATTATCAAACGATTTTATGCATTTACTTGTGAATAATTTGTTACTTCAATGATGACGTTTGGTTAAAATTACATCACCGAATTCTTTTACTGTAGACAAGGTTAAGATGGAAAAAAGAATTATGATTTCACCGTACTTGTCATAGATATCTGATGTTAATCAATAAAGTTTAAAATAGTGACACTTTGAGCTAGAATTCATCTTAATAACAACTTTTACTAAATTATGGTTGCTTATTAAATACTGTTTTTGGTAAACATTGTAAGAATATAAATGCTTTAATGGAAATACACTATTCATAAATTGCTTAAATACGTGGACGAATATGCATACAATCATACAGAGATTTAATTTGATCAGGGTTATATTCTATTAGGTTGGCTGAGTGAAATAATCAATCGAAGTTTTACTATTTTTACTTTGAGAAATTCGACTATAGCTATTTTACAATTTGTTGTATTTTAGTTCATAAGTGATGTTTCAAAGTCTGATACTATTCAGTAATTTAATTTATTTAGGTCACTTGATAGTTTGTTTCTAACAATAGAATCTTATTCTCATAATTGAAACCACGAACTGATGTTACCAACACCTTCATTGACATTAAACACTAAAGCTATGGGAGGCCGACTCAATGGTTCATAGATTAAGCGTTAGCGCGAGATCGAAAGTTCTGGATTCTATTCTGATGTGCAAAGTCACGGATGCGCACTGTTGAAGAGTCCCATAATAGAATGAAAAAAACCTTCAAGTATTTCCGGATCTTCGAAAGCGGCGCAGTTATGATCATTCCGGGATTTAAAATTGGAAAAAATACAGTCTCCATAAATCCCAACTACTAGTAGAATCTTGTGCTGTTAACATAGACATTTCTAAAATGAATACACAAGGTGTTCGAATTTTTATGTGCTTAAAAAAATGAATTTCAAGGGTTATTTTACTCTTCTATTTTAAGAGAATAATTGCCTGCATAGATAGGATTATCGTTGCTGAATATTTTAAACAATTCAAAAATCAGTTTTGTTGCTTTCCTTAGATACGTTTATTAGTGAATTCATTTTCATTTGATTTTAAAAAATAAATTGAATTTGTCGTAATACTTTTGCCTTCAACTAATTATAGAAAGACAATTAATATTTTTAGAATATATTTTTTGGTCAACAAAAGTATCCACTGTTAAAATTTTCTTAGACTTTTTGAGACGTCCCATTGAATTGTAGCAATTTCGATACATTGTTTATACGGAGGTGCAAAAAGACCATAAATTTAAAATAGAATCAGTATTATTGATTACTTACGTATTAATATTTCTGTATGATTCATCATAACTATGAAACTTTGTACGATAACAATCATATAAAATAAGACCGACAGAAATACACTGTAGTTTAAATTTAAAAATACTATGTGGTACATGTTGGACTTAAGAGACAAGGAGGTTTTTCCGTGAATTTCAAGGTTAGACTTCTGAAGGAAACTTATGGTTCTACCATAGACTGACAGATTAAAATATATTCTCAATAGAGCAATAGCCATTTTTATAAGTCTTTATATATATATATATATATATATATATATATATATATATATATATATATATATGTAGAGACTGGCAGATTTGTGTGCCATGTCAAGTCATTATATTGCATAAGAATAATTAGATAAATTTAAAAAGAATTGATGAAGGGATCGGAATGATGTATCAGCGGTGATAACGAAGAAGACTGAACGCTGAGAACATAGTTCGAAAAGTTGGAACGAACAGGTGGTTTTGAAAGAATACCAGGACAAAAGACCTAGATTAATATAAAGTCTGAATACATCTGCTACACAGTGATTGATTCTGAGCTATGCCGTTAAGTGTTTACAGTCACTGGTAGCAGTTTTCATGTTAATCTTAACCAAATAGTCAGCAACCAACTACACGATTTAGCCCAACAGCCAATAATTTTATAGACTGTTCCCTCCAGGGTATCTTTTAATTCATTCCTAAATCAATTAAATAGGATAAACGTACCTTGAAAACTATTCATTTAATCGCGTACGAAATTTAAATTGTTATTCTCTTTTCTACCTACTGAGCTGCAGGTTTTCTATTTTGTAACATTTGAGCAGCGGAAGATAATGTAACGAAAATCTGTCTTTTTGGGATAATTTTGTTTTAATTTAGTTTTCCTATTAAAACGCTGGTTTAACAGAATATATACATGTATTATTTTTAGTAAATTTGGCTTACATCATAAAAATAACGGTTCTTGAGTTGTAGAACAGTAAAATTTTGATGCTGTCAATACGCTTATCCATGAAAGGCATAGTTTTTTATGGAACAGTATTAATTAATTCAGTTTACGCACTGAGACTATTTCGTCATATTATATAGGTATCAAACCACTTGATTACAAGTTAAACCATTTGTATATATTATTTAAGAACTAGTCACCCAATCAGATAATTTATTCATTTAGATATAAAACTGGAAAATGTCTAATTGTTTCTAACTTTGTTTAATTATGGTAATTTTACTATGGTTTAAACTCTGTGAAGTCAGTTTAATATATTATATATATTGATTAGCAAATTGTAATTTGTGGAAGAATGTTTATGCGTCACATCTTAACAGGAAATATGAACGTAATATATTTGTCTAATGTGAAAGTGACGTGTTTGATTAAGTTATTGTAAAACTGGAGCCAAATAACATACCAACCAACTGATGTAATGCTAATAATAACTCTTAAAAATGCACTTAAGCAAGAGCAAAAAATTAACGAAATGAGACATACCTGCTCACAGTCTGTAGGCAGTTGACATATTCTGAATACACAAGTGAAGAAAACTAAAGTCATGTTACCCAGCCTAAAAGCTTCAAATAGATTTGTTTGCAAATGCCCATTCAGTAAACCAATATTTGAAAATTTGGCAGTTAATAGTGCTTTCTTGTGTAAGCATCTAAAATGTAAATGTTATAAAACACTGTGAAATATCTTACTGTATATTATTGTAATAAAATACGCTTTATCTTAAACGTTTACGGAAGTCAGATCAATAAAACTTTATGATTTATCCAATCAAAACTCAAAATAACCGATTTTTTTATTTGTGTTAATTCTTATCAGTTATGCTTAAAAAAACTATGGTTTAACAGCAGTGATAATAAGCATAGATTATTGCTTACAATGATCAGTCATTCAAAAAATGAATATGGATTGAGTATTCGAGATTATAGTCTGACAGTTAGTGTCACCTTTTCGACAGAATCCATAGAAAACTATACTGTAAAGTTTATTCCTAGTTGTCCCTTATTAGTTGTAGATCATAAGAACTAAGAGATAGAATAATAATTGATATACTCTAAGAATACTATCATCTACTTCATGTACGACCTGCTACTAGATTATTGTATAAAAGTTAGAGATAAAATGAAGTTGAAAACTTTTGAATATTACTTGAAATCAGTTACAGTGGATGTTACAGGTTACAGATTTTGTACGAAACGTTGTACTCTGTCTTAAGTCACTTTAACTTATAGACATAATAACTCAGTTCACTAAAGAGTATGTAATTAGGCACCTGGATGTTACTGAATACAATAAATGGTTTTATAATATATTAAGGGGTTACAATATATAACAAGATAGGTTTTTCAATAATTTATCAGAAATATGAAGATGTACTTCTTTCTCGAAATCTACGTCTTTAATCATTGCGATTTATTACGAGCTTAATTTGTTTAAGTTACCATAAACCAGCCTTCTTACCAATAATCTAATGTATTTCAGAGAATAATATTCAATTTTTGCTTTGGTGTGTCGTATTCCGAATTCAACTTAATTTTGCAGAAACTATGAAATACATATTTCTTCATCGTAACTCGTCACTGATTTAGACATTTCTCTAGCATATACGGTTTTAAAAAGCGAGAAAATTATTGTGAACACACACAAAAATCTAAATCTAATCTAGAAAATAAATTTTTTCGGAAGGAATACGTCATACTGTCAAAATTTACGCTTTTCATCCTACATATGACTTCCAAATAGAATGTTGTATATACGAAATTATTACTATGGAGCTAATGGAAACATCATTCAATCTCAGCGAGTGTTAGATTCCTCAATGTTTTGGACGCATTTTGATGAAATGTCATTTGAATCAAAATTTAGTACCAGGATAGCTTAAACTACTAAATATTACAACAGTATAATCGACGTCTTGTCGCTTGGATTCCAACAACCATTAGGGATTACATAAATGTGTTTGATTACTACTTAATAATCAGTCGATATAACACATAATTCATTATATACAATTCAATACAGCAATTGTTCATAACAATGTTTGTTAGCCGATGAATCTTAAAAAATTAACTATTTCAACAAAATAAGATGATTACCTGTGATCTATAAGTAAAGTGCCTGTTTCACTTGAAAAGTAATCAGAATGAACAGATCTATTGTTACCATAACAATAATCAGCAGCAATATATTTGTAGGGTCCTTGAATATTGAAAATTGAATATATAGAAAAACAAGTTCAATGTGAATGCATATTTCATAAGAAGAAAGTTTTTGTAAAGTTAATTGTACTTATGTTTTTCTGTAAAATTAATCCCTACACTTATATTGCCAGTTCTGTATTTTACACTTTAATAATTACAGTTAAAGTATTAATCGTAAAAAATTATATTAAGTGAACAATTTAGCAACACCGTTGATAAACACTTTTATAAATAAATGAAATCAATAGTTAATGAAGCACATAAGTTAATGTTTTTTTATTCAAAAGAAATATTTTTTTTCATTTTAATTTGGCAAAAAGATTAAAGATAGTTATTCAGAATATCAACAGATATCAAAACTCATAATGAGTGAAGTTTGTTACATGGAATAGATTGATAATGACTAATAGGGAAATCTAGATACACAAACAAACTTGTTTGAGATTTGTCAGCTAGATATATCCACATCTTAGTGTTGATTTTCATACAGGTACTGGAACCTAGTACTTTGCCTCAAAAGCGGAATGCTTTATTCACCAAGCTGCTGATTCCGTAATCAAGATAGAAGCGTTACTTTAAATGATCAAAAATTAGTGTACGGACATTTGATCACTGAAGCAAACAATTCAAAACTATTTATTTAGATGAAGTAAATTGATAAAACTATGCACGTTAAAATACAAACAGTCAGTGCAAGTTATTCAACTAGTTGAATAAATAAATAGAAACCAATTCAAGTTCATTTATTAAATCACAGTGTAACTACAATGTATCTTAAGACAATTACATAGATATATAGAGTGAATGAATGCTAATGAATGTTAACACAACAATCAAATGTCAAATGATAATGTCTCATGACTGTTTGAATGAACTCATATAGTTTAAAGGAATGTTCTTTTTTAATTGAAATTTTTCTATCTATAAATTGAATCATTTGAGATTTTAATGAAAAATAAATTAGATGGAAATACTCATTATATGAAAATTTGATTAAGTAATTTTGCAGAAATCGGATACCATATTTTTAAAAGTCATTATAAATGACAGCAACATTTGAATAATCTCGGTAATTTAAATGCAAATAAATAATTCTTACATTTCCCTCGATTCACTTGACCAAAAGTTTTGTCTTAACTAGTCCAGTGAAGAAGAGATAAGCATAAACCGTTAACAAATACATACATCTCTGATACATGATTATGAATTTCAACGTCAACTCAAAGTAGTTCGCAGGGTAAAATCTTAGAATCATTAACTTGCAGTCTCATATATATATATATATATATATATATATATATATATATATTGCATATAAATAATGCTAACTAAAATACTACTCTTTCTGTTCTTTTCTTTGAAATTAAATGCTTTACTTAACAACGGCTTTCAACAAATATTTGTCATTTAAATAAGTACACATAATTCTAGAGTTTAGTGAAAACGATTAAAAATTCTCAGCTTATTTTTATATTCGAAATGGGCAACGAATCTTATTTAATACATCGATAAAATTTACGCGAAATTCAACATATATATGACAGTCAATTGTACAACAAATGTATCTACCTGTTGTGTTTAGTAAAAGGTGCTATATCACAGATGGTGTTATATCGTAGCTTTGATCTATGTGAAATCAACTTGAGTTTTATGCATGAATTATAATATGGTGAAACGGAGAGAGATCTGAAAGTCAAGGGTTGATTGACATTTTGTTTATCAAGAGTGCGAACTATTATAGGTTTCTGAAGAAATTAAAATCAGTGTTCTAGTGACCATATTTTACTAAGTTTCTTCAAATCATATTTATTTCTGAATTAAACTAGCTGAATAACGAATACAATCGATAATATTTGACTAAACATAGGATAATTCAGTTAGCATTTCTAAATAAAAACTCCAATAAAAGATAAACATGCCTTATTCTCTTATCAAACGATAGTCTGACTGACTAATTCATTATTTCTGTATGACCTATCCCTTCGATAATGATTTAATTACAGGTAATTAAATATTTAGAAAACACATGTCACACAACACTTGCCTGAGGGATTAAGTAGTGAGGCATCCAAGCGTAGACGTGAACCAACAATAGCCGATAGAATTTCTTTGTTATTTTCATTTAATAGACGCAAAATTATTTGAGGATGAGTTAGTGTGCTTGCTAGGTTCATGGTGCCAATCGTTTGCATATTTCCACTGTATTGGAGTCAAATAAAAGTAATTTAAATTCAAATGGTCGATTTCTATATATATATATTCAATCGAAGTGAATAAAATGTTTACTGAAACGATTTTATAGGGTTGCAAGGTTAAAAAGCACAATTCGATTTATAGCATGCTCTGCTTTGCAGATGGTTGTCTGTTGTACAATGAACTACTCGTTATTAATGATCGGAAAACTATGAAAAATGCAATAGGATATTATTAAAATCCATATATTTCTGTTAACGCGTGTTTCTATATGAATAAACTGTATGTTAAAACAACGACTAGAATTATTTTGCTAGTAGATTATATTTTAAACTGTAGAAGGTTGAACATATTTTGAATCCGTCGAGCTCTGTTTTATGCTGTATATCACTCATCATGAAATCATGCCTGAGATTTGAACTGAATTGATTTTCCTCATGAAATTTAAACGAATTTCACTCAGTATAAAAAAAAAATGAAATCACTGGTTAACTATACAGTTTATGTTCTCTCAATCTGATAAAAAGTTAATCACTATAGTTAATGTATTTCAATGTCGTGAAAATAAAAAATATCAGATGCATATTATTTAAATGACCAGAAAAACTCTTGCCATGCTATAATAATCATTGTAGAACGCTATGGTTCCTTAGATCGTAAAGGCTACATGGATAACTGTAGTAATTCTGTGATGATCGCAGTCGGCCTTCTGTCAGTGACGGATCTTTCAAACGTCTGCCCTATCAATTTGTTGGTAGGTGATTTGCCTATCATGATGATAACGGGTAACGGGGAATCAGGGTTCGATTCCGGAGAGGGGGCCTGAGAAATGGCTACCACATCTGAGGAAGGCTGCAGGAGCGAAAATTACCCACTCCCGGCACGGGGAGGTAGTGACGAAAAATACAGATACGGGACTCAATTGAGGATCCGTAATTCGAATGAGTGCAATTTAAATCCTATAAGAACACGAGTTTGCATGAAGGGTTTTTCTTACCACTTCTAACTACATTTACGTCTAATCAGTGAAAAATTGGTTGCTGAATCGAATGTAATTTACTTTCCAACTACAAAACCATGTACTCAGTTTAGAGTTACGCTTTGTATGTAAAGACTAATATTACTAATCGATATCTCCGAGTGACCTAAATGAATCGAAATTTCAGTCTGAGAAAGTTTCTTTTGCAACCAGTCAATCCAACTACTTTAACCATGGAGTGAATATTATAGGATAAAAACTAATAACCTTTGTGTACAAATTTTAAAACAGAACAATTAAAATCTATCAAAGTTTAGCACCTTTGAAAGGCAAATATCTTCCAAAGTAATTTTAAAATGGGAAAATCTTAAATCATTTTAATTTGAGATATTGGACTGAAGAGATAAAATTCGACAACATTGTATTACCTGAAGTTCGAACAATTTATTAATCAACACACTTAAACTGAAAATAAATATTCACACCTCGTACATAACTATGAGTTTCGTCGTTGACCATCATTTCAAAGGTTGCCTATAAGACATTACAGTTATCTGGGTGCTGGAGTATTATTTCGCAAACCAGTATACTGTAAATCAGATGGACAATTTGCATTAAAATTAGTTTGAGGGTTTCCTGTCGGCTACTAACAACAATTATCTTACATCGCAACACAGTACACGCGATGTTGAGTCACCTGGAGTAGTGATCATATGACAACTTGATCGTTAGAATTCGACCGGTACCAAGAGGGTTTTGACGTACATAACAGTATTCACAACTCAATGATCAATCATTTCTAGAAAAATTATGATGTTAATAGATTTTTCACTGCATAAGACTTATTTGAGGTTATTTTTTGCGACTACTGATAAAACTATGTAATTCGTTGTTAGATGAGGAAATTTAGTCTCAATAATGGAGCTTTCAGACAAATCAAAAGAAATTGTTCTGTTGCAAAATGGCAATAAATAACAACAGTATACATAAAAATAAATGTTCAGAATGCATAAAATTTTACTGTAATTTTCAGAATATTCACTTAAGTTATATATGACAGTTCATATAACATAAATTTAAATTGACCAAAAATTATTGTAAAAATTCTCCAAGTACTTACGCATTAATTTTATTCATTGGTCTATTCGGGATTCGAGAGATGCACTTGAGAGGAATAATTTTATCTCTGCTAGGAGTACGTATTGAAGCATTGACAAGGACTTCTAAAATTCCTTCGTACTGTACGGTATCATGCTGTCAAAACAGTAATATAAGATTTATTCACTTTATGTCATTATTCATGAGAACTTTAAAACTCTATATTTCAAGTCATCTGAACAACTGATTACAAACAAGTATGGAAAACACCAAGTATATTTGTTAACCGTTCTTCACAAGGTTAAATCTCTTTGTTACCTTGCAAACTGATGACTAATCGCATATTTTTATTGTGAGTAGACAATTCATTTATCATGCATTGAAAATAAATGTATTGATAGTGCATTATCACGAAAGCAGGCATTTTTTTTAAAAAATATGATGTATTTCCTATTTTGCAGGGTTATTCTCTTCAGAAGTCGGTTAAAACACTTTGAACTATAGTGGGCTTAATAATTTATGGAATACATTTTACTTCTTGCAGTGAAGTGAATCGCTATGACTAGTCAGAAATAAGATCGCCAACTGAAACATTACTTATATTGCCTATGATAATCAGTATCTCCTTCCAAATAGTCCAGACGAAACAATCTGACTTTAAATGATATCTTATATTTTGAAATTCACACTTAGTATAGCCTAATTCCATTACATTAAATCTCATAGATTGATTAATTTAGATCAGAGTTAGTTATTTAGAAGTTTGTTAGAAAAAATCAGATTTGCATTTCATTCTCATTAGGACTGATTAGATTTGTATTTAACATAACCTAAATTCTGACTAAACAAGCACAAGATGTAATAATTTGAAAGTGTAAGTCTTCGAGTAAAGCACTTCTAATGAAGAAAGTATACGGAACGCTTGAACTTGTGATCATTTTTAAAAAAGTAGACAACACTTTACTATGAAGATTATTTCATCCTAGCAGCTATAAAATGTTATATGCAAATGCCTGCGTACTATATGATAATAAATTCAACAATGAGACCATAAACCAATGGTTGTTAGAAACTTGAAACCCCTGGACGGCCGTTTCGTCCTAGTATGAGAATCTTCAGCAGTTCTAAACCTTGGAGTTCTAGTGAGAAGCTGTGATCAGTGGAGTTCAACCCTGTCGGGTGTAGGCTGTTTCCTAACGAGGTTGTTCAAAACCTTAGGTTGATTAGAGTTAGACCTCAGCACACAGATCTTAGCAGAGACCGAATGTCCTGGCTTGGATTCCTGCGATTGAGGTGGTGGATACGCACTACTGAAGAGTCGCATGCGAGGAGGAAACGGCGTCCACTGCTTACAGGTCTCCAATGGTGGCCTTACAATAAGTGATTCATGAGTTCAATGTGAAACAACAATCTCCATAACTCTATAATGAATAAACTCAACATCAGGAAAAAAATTTGCCTCATATAAACTATATCAAATAAATCATCACCATATTATCTCAAACGTTAGGAGAAAAAAAGCCTAGAAACTCTTATTATTATGTTTAAGTTTCATAAATAAATTTTAATTACTAATGTGATTATAGTTTATGCCTGTTTGTGTGTATTCCACTCAGTGTAGAGGTGTATATTCACATAATTTTGTTCTGTACTAAATGATAATAATCAAGTGAAATGAAACCATTTATTTAAAAGTCATAAAAATTTCTATTCGTAAAATTGTTGATTATATCTAATTTAATATTTATTTCTTCAATAGATATATTATTATATTTCAATCAAAAATGATTTTTTTATGTTTATATTAATAAAGGGTTTGTTGAAAAATAATTCAAATTAGATGAAAAATGATTTTTAAAAACTTCTCCTGTAGATCAAGTATTAAAAATACTCGATACTTCTATTTTAATGCAGGTCGTTTAAATAACAACAAAAGTTATGATTAGCTGAGTTTACACGATCACCATACAAATTAGAATTACGGATGATTTTAAGTAATGAGGCCCATCATTTTACTACCTTACGGATGTGTACACCATGTAAAGTAATATGAAGAATAATCTCCTAGAGTAAATTTTGTTTATGATTACAAAATTTCACAGAGTAGACCAGTGACTGAACGAAAAGTAGTTTGATTAACATTAAAAGTCTGTTGTGTATAAAACGCTGTTCACTAAATTTTAGTGATCTTCATTAGAATCTAGATTCTATATCTGATTCCGTGAGTATAGACTGCTACAAACTAAAAAGTTCATTTATATTAGTATTTTCTGGTTCTAATTTTGATGTTTTTGCTCAGTTGAAAACCTTGATTTACAACTGCGTGTTTAATTCATATACTTTCAGAATAATAAAAGCATTAGGAGCATTCTAAGAACATGGCAGTCTTTCAGAAAAAATAGCAAGAAATTACTTACACTAAGTTTGTACAGTCTGATACCACACAGTCCATTTTGTTGCCAGACATCAACATTCAAACAAAATCTTTTACTTTGTGTCCCATGTAAATGATACTTGTCACGTGATGTTGATTCCGTTACGAAAATGTTTCCAGTATCTGTTGCATTATTCTCTGATTTGAGTGTACAAACATTCTGGAAGTTTGAAGTGTGATAAGTCTTGTTTGTTTCACTAGTTAAACTTTCTCTCAGATAATTATCAGATGCTAATCTGACCACAGAATGATGATTCATCAGATCATCAAACAAATTGCTGTACGGTCCATAGGAATGAGGATTATAACACACAGAGAAATATCCATTTGTACAGTTGATAGATACTGTAACAAAGAAATTAATATACGCATAATTACAGCTTAGATGGCACGTTTACCTATTTATTTAAATTTTAAGATTACCATCTTTCAGATAAATACCCCTAAATATTTTGTGATTTACGATTGTTCATCACAGGAATGCTGTTAAAAATCTTAAAAAAACATTCTTTAATTCACTGTAATATAATCAGACATTCAAATTAGAATTCCGATAACAGCTTTACCTACCAAAATCGCTTTTGAGAGGACTGTTACTCCACAGTCGAAGTTATCAATTTTAGCCAGTATAATATATACTCTCGAAAGTTTTCCATTCCAAACTATATGTTGACTTGTATAAGTTGAATTCAACAAAACTTACTATATACATATTTAAGCCTCAAAATCTTTCATATAAATCGACCTTAGCACCGAACAAAAAACCTGTTTAATTAAAAATATATAAAAAAATTCTTTCTAACTTTACTTAATCACTTGAAATGCTTATCAAAAAATTATTTAGCCAGTCAACTGACCATTTTTTCTTTTTTAATTGAAGTAGATCACGCTCCGGAATTTAAATATCTCAAACTAAAAAAACGTTTTGTATTCCACTGTCTAAACCATTCTGCTTTCGCTTCATATCTATGTAAAAACTTTTCTCATTGATCAGTTATATTATTAAAACATCTTTTGATCAATGATCAATGAGTCGTTTAAAATGCATCTATCTATAAAAAAATATCATTTATATTGAAATAGGTGTTTAAAAGCTAACAGTACAATTTCAAAATGAAGCTGTATCTATTTAGGTGATCTAGTAAAATTAACGCATAAAATTAATTTTCTGATTATTTTACTTATTGACTTTTGATTAACATTTATTGACGTACCATGAGCAGTCCCACAATATGTCTCTGAGTTTTCCTTTCCATAGACAATAGATGAAAGACTTGGCGGGCAGTCACAACCATCTCCTGTTTCATCATCATTTAGATCATAACACTGACCACCTGTATCAACACATTTTTGACAACGTTTGGCTTTCATTGGAAGTATTTTGACTGTAAAACAAACGTGCCGAATTCAAAGCATAATAATAACAAAGTGTTCAATTGTAAATCTATGAAAAATCGGTGACACAAATTATTAAGTGCATTCTGTCAAATATATCTGCAATCGTGACTACAACACAGAATATATATGATCTGAGTTAAACCAGCTTCATCATGATACATGGTAATTATTTATTCAAAAAATTGTCAATATCAGCAGTAAATTGATGAAGCTATTGATCGTAAGGGTTTGCATTTCCTGACTATTGATTGTCGGAAAGGAATTTCAATAAAATTACTTTTGAGATATATGCACATAATGCATTTTTATATTTGTACTGTAATTTCTGATCAAAGCTTTAGTCGAATTGGATTTCGGTTTATTTGGATTGCAAGAAAATATCAAAAATACTTGAGTTATAAAACAAAACCATAAAATTATTAAGTAATTTGTTTAACTGTTTAAATATAATGACATAATACACATCAGAAAACAAGAAAGTAGTTCAGAACTTCGCTGTTACACGATGTTATGAATGAATGTAATGTATATATATAGTGGTTATTTTTAGTACAAAATAAAGACTTTATCTCAGTTTTTCCCGCGAAATAACATAGTTAATCTTCTGTCCAGCAGCGCTGCTATGAGTACCATACAAAGCAAACAACAGCCATATGCAATAAACACAACAACCATATCACTGTAATCTTTGTCAAATGTTATGTTTGCTCATAAATTAAAAAAGCCATTCTCTGTCGATGATAATGAATAGTAATTTTTAGAACTATCTACTCTTATCGTAAAAATTCAAATGATCCTGATCTTTTGAGGCATAATTTTCAGTTTTAATCTTGAACTGCTTTCACGTTATTGCCTATGACACAAGTATGTATGCTTTCTGCGAATACCAGTAGTGATCGGTTTTCTGTAATACTGAGCTGAACAGTAGTAATAACTATGGTTGTAATTTGTTTAGATACTTTAAAAAATGGTAAGAATTTCGTAGTTTTGTGGAAGATAAATATATTATTTAAGTCGATTAACTTCATATTGACTAATTTTGAAAATTTATAATTTTAGTGCGTAGAAGGTAATCGGTCTTCAGCTTTTCAAATGAAAAAACTGAGAACGATGCATTGTTTGGTTGCGACGGTAATGATCGATTTCTGTAATTCTCTTAATGAACATTATTTAGTAAAGAAAATCATTTCTAGATTAATTGTTTTATATGTTAATTAATGCATAGAACACAACTTTAAGGTATATTTTACTTCAGCCATCATTTATCTTTTGATAACTACTAATAATAATGAGCAAACAATAGACTCCTTAACTTACAACATTCATTATATTTTAAATTAACTTGATATACTGGTAAATATCCTGGTTTACACTGACAAGTACGTATAATTTGATTTCTTTGTAAATGATCTACACCAGGAAAATTTTCTGACCATAGATTATTTTTGATACTATGCAAATGAGTAGTCGATAACAATAGTTCTTCTTGTAATGGTTTACAAACAGAATTCATTGAACGACAAAATAATGATTCATCGTTACATTCCGATCCAATGTCAACTTGATTTTAAAAAAAATGTATCAAGAGAAAGCAAGTGAAAGAATATATAATTTAATTTTGAACCTATAAAATCATAAACTTACAAAAATTAGGTGGATTTATTTAGGTCGATTGTATATGTCACTAGAATTTGACTCACCGATTTGTTGTTAGTTATTATGTAATCTGAAAGGCCAAAGATCGATACTTTTTGATGTAGCATGTGAGTACTTCCTAGAAGGTCCACAAAAAGCTGTACATATCTGTACATATCTTCCTAGTTTTCGTATCTGATGTAAGTAGACAAAAACTACCTTGTAATTTGATATCGATTTCTTTGATATATTATAATAGTATCTAAAGCAACAGTGCTTTAAGAATAAGAAATAGTTATTTTGTTTTGATCACAAAATATGTGATGGCATTTACATGTCTGTAGGTGGAATTTTGCTAAAAGTAGTTTACTTTGTCATTTTAATTAATATTTGTTAGAAGACATTCTAACAGGTCATATGCAGATTCATTGAGAACTTCAGATGATAAAATGAAATACATTACTTTTCCTCGAAACTTTAACAACCGTAAAAGCTAAGTATAATAAAGTTCAGTAAAATTAGCACTAGAAAGACCTGTTATATACAGTTCGACAGGTGCAGTATTTTCTAATCATCCAAATATTAAAAATAAATTCCACTTTAAATATCATGCGTTTAGTAGGAAGTTTCACCCCTAATAATAGGTCGCTGACCAAAAATTTTTCAGAGTATTTAAAGGACCTCTTGCTTGGGGTTCTATAACGCCCAAAAACGGAGACTCAGTGAGATACCTGTCTGTTTATCAAAAAGCCAGTACACTTAGCAGCTCACTATGTCAAAGGACATGAATGAGTCTCATATAGTTAGGTGGCATCAGTCGATCGCCGGTTCAAAGTAGTTAGCTCAGAAGTAGTTGAAAGTAGTGAAACGTTGTATTAATTCACTATGGCTCGAGTGTTTTTATGTATTTTGAGCAAACACATAAATAAGTGCTTTATTGATGTGCGTAGAAGTAGGTTGGAAATAAGTTACTAATCACTTTGCTATTAAACGTCATATTGATATAAATCAATGACCTAATCTAATTGCATGAGATATATAGACAGAAATGATTTGAACTTACCCAAATATCCATCGCACATATATTTTAACGGATCGCTTGTTCTTGTACTAATTGGCACTCTATGATCTGGGCAAACACAACCAACACCATTAGGATTCACTCTGTAATTTATAACAAAATAAACAGTTAAGTTTCTAAATCTAACGTTGTTGAGAAAAACATTAAAACAATTATCATTGCTTTGTTGATAAGAAAAGTGAAGAATGGTTTATAAGCTAATCCCTTGAACTGACTGTAATTATTCACAAAAGAAATTTCATGCCATATAGCAACTAAATTTAATTGATCGTATCTCAATTGGTTCAACCTTCGGCATAATGTTGAAACTAGACTTTGAAAGAAGAAAAGAAATGAAATCATAGATATCATGACCGAATTTAAGCAAAGTAAATTATTCTTTAACATGAAATATTCCTTGTGATGAACGATAAAAAATTTATGTCATTTTATTTTGTGCAATGATATTCATTAACTACATGTCTTTTTCATAATTAATTAAATTAAAAGATTTGAATTTTTAAAGCAAAAATATTGACATGACACGCTGACATTTTTCTTAATGATGACATTTTTCTTTGAATACTCATTATGAAGATATGCTAATCATTAGGCGATAAATGAATCAGAAATTTCCTACTTAATTATCTATGAATGAATGAACACACTTGCATCAAAATACCTTTCAGGACACTTTTTTCTTTGATGTGAATGAAATTTCAATTTGACTTGCCATATGTTTTAACAATACTGAATCTTTGATATCATTGGATTTGTTTGTCATAGTTTAACTAAAGCAAGTATTTGGTGATAGACCAGTTACAGTAGTTTTTTTGATGTCCCACATTTTATTCTTGTTTTATTTCCGATTGTATAAAATTATCAGTATTATGTGACGGGATTGGATTCGCCCGTTCATTCACAAACATGACTTCCTAGTCCTGAGTCTAAAAAGATATTGGTGCCTAACTGAGACATTACTACTACTTCTCGTTATATAGCCTAACCTAGTATACTGGGTTTTACGCTTTCTGAAAAAGATAAGCTATCGTAGCCATAATTTAGGATTTAGTCAATAGGTTCTATTGTTAGTTTTGAGTTTTTCTTCCTTAGTTTTGTTGATCAACTTATCGAAGCACCAATTAACGAAGCTCCATCTTTCCAAAGCGGACTCTGAATAACTTGCAGATAGATTCCGTTTGCTGATTATTTTCCAAGAGATATATTCATTTCGCTAAGGAATCTAGAGATAAAATTAACATTTTTAAAATAATCGTTCCAAACTATATATTCGGTATCCCCTTACATTAAAATATAATTCATTTAATGTAGAACCACTTCGACGAATTAATATATCGAAACCTAATCGATAGGGTTTGACTATCAGTTTTAGATGGTGGAGAAAATTTGTAGCTCCGGTGTATGATAATGGTGGAATTTCATTCTTTGAGTCGAATATTTGTGTTATTGTTCTGCTGAACAACACCATCAGCAGAAACTTCATAAATAACTGAAGTGTTCGAGTTTCTTCACTTACTCCTCATGACTTGTCCTGTTGGCCTCAGCCTTGATTGGCCGTTTTTGACCTTTTTGCCCTGTTATTGTCTACCTCTTTAAATTGATTGTATCCTCCCCTGATTTGGTTTATGATGCTATGCTTGTCTACAATTTTTCTTATTAGTTGATAAACTGGATCAATTGACCAATTTATCTGAGTGCCAAGCTACTAAAAATGTAAATACTTCACTACTACCTGAAGTTTGTGCTGATAGTGTTGTTCAGAAGCGTAATGAAAGCTCTACAACCAAAACATTTAGCTCACAGAAAGAAACTCTACCACAATTTGACCAACACTAAAGACCGTACACACAGTGATCAATTGAGATGAATATCTTCCTCACCATAGTTTTAGGTAAAATTTATATATTTTGTCATACGTTTTATGATAAGATACATAAAATTAAAAGTTCAATATTTTCTTTTTGTTTTTGTTAATGAGTCTACTAAGAATATGCATAAAGTATAATTTCACTAGTTCACAAGTGAAAAAATTCTCTTAGCATACTAACTAGTATAATTATCATTAGATCATTGTTATTATTTATTATAAATAACTGGAATGAAACTCGAATAAATTTTGTAATTCATTAAATCAACACTTCCATAATGAACTTTTATTTTCTCTAAGGTCAACTTTGTACTAATAGAATTTTTTGAATTATTAAATTCTTATTCGACAAGTATTTCTTATTCTACATTTTTTAATAATAAATAATAAAAAAATAAATATTTCACATTATATAAATATTCAGAAAAAAAATTAAAATTTAGGTCACCACCAAGATTTAAGTGAAAATGGAAAAATATTTATAATTCAAAAATTAAGAAGAAAAGACAATCAACCTCAATCATAAATAAATGTATGTATCTTTTAGTAAAGATTTTAAGAGTAGATTAGTGATCTCTTCCTTGATTCTCAATCACCAAACAGACTGAACATAAGTTTAGGCTTTCATTTCTAAGTAGTCTAGTATAAATTGAATTTCATAAATCATTCAAGAAAGTGTAAATACAAATTCTTTTCTATTTCATGTAATATAAATTTTCACTATTTCTTATCTACATTTCTCTTAATAAAATGCATAAATACATAGCTGATCGATTTCCATAAGCAAATGACCCAAAGTGAAAACACCTAATGATGGCTATCAAAAATCTGACTGAACAGATCAAATAACCTTTCTGTAGATGGATATTAAAACTGTTTATATTTCTTAGAATAAAACAGATTTAATAAATGGAATAAATTCATCATTATTTTACTATGTGAACTCAATACATTAATCAGAACACCTGCAGAGAAACTCTTATCATTTTCACTGACACGACCCTGAAGATATTTATCAATGATCATTCTAAAAATCATGACATTTATAAACTGGAATATAATTAACTCTATTCCAAAATATGCTTACATTCTGGTAGCCAAGTCATTATTTTCTTTAAAAAAAATAGTTAATACAAAAAATTGATAAAATTGATTATGAACTAAATTGTTTTATGTATTACCTTTGGTCTGTGATAATTCTTTCAAATAGTTCATATTTAAAACAGGTTCCTTTCAGTTGAATACAAACATCACAGAATGGATCATTTTGATACATAAAACGTGATCCTATATTGGAAAAATAAGAAAATTCATCAGTATAATTTCATCACGTTCATTCATACAATGAAAGTACTTGATATTATAAAATCAGGTATATTTGTTTAGCTGAGGTCACCTGTATTATACTACAGTCTTTCTTTTGTACTAATATTTGTTTTTATTGCCTACAGAGCACATACATCAAATGTGCTTGTTCATTCTGTTCTTCAGAAAAGAGTTCAATAGATTTTTAAAGGTACTTTTAAGACTAGTTACCTTGTTGCGTGCAGTGTTAATATTTCGTTATGCTTTTCTCATTCATGTGGCTAAATCACTTGATGAAAATAATCAGATGTAATATATATATATATATATATATATATATATATATATATATAAACAGCATAATTAATGCTTAGGTTCTTTATTCTGTCATTTGGACCTTGGTGTTAAGACATAGGACAATGTTTGGTCAAAAATGGAAAAACTGATTGCGTGACTTTCGTTGATATAACTAACCTGTTGATAGTGAGTATGAAATTATTTGAGTGGTTTGAACATTTACATGAACTTCCTCTTTAAGTTGTGAACAATTAGAATGATCAATTTGATTAATATTTATAGTAATTCTAGATGCTTAATAGAATGCAATACAGTAAAATCAGTCTTCTCAACAATATAGACTCATATTCCAAAATGCAACAAATGTTTTCTGCCTCATAGTTATATTTTAATTAGTGCATTATTTATTGTTGAAAATCACCATAATCTATTCATCCTTCAAAGTTGTATTATTCTTTGAAATGAAGAGAGATAATCAACTTGGTTTCAGTAATCAAATAAATTATTTATTCAGCTTGTCATGGAACAAGTTTAACATTTAATACTACTGACTTGAATAGATTCAGATGAGTTACTAAAAAATGTAGCCTTAACGACGCAGTAAAGTTTAGGAGTCTTAAAAAAGCAATTCGTTTACTTATCTCAGTGTATTAGTTTCAATAATAAATAAGCAATAAACAGAGCAATAATTATTACTTATTTTAATGGGGATGAGCATTTTTACTAGTTGAGGTAAAAAGCTAATTGATGCAAACTCTTGCGTATCTGAATGAGTTTTTACTTTGTTTTAGATGAGTAAATCTGTATCGAAGTCCTAAGATTGTAATTTAATTTCAACAAGCCGCCTGTCAACCCAAAAAAACCAAAGTTAATTTTAACTGTCGTACATTTTTTTCCAGAAAAGTTTACCAAACCACTGAGGAAATTTCTGCACTGGATAACACAAGTAAATATTTTAAGCAAAGAATCATTGCAGTTACACAACTGTTAACAACCACCAGAAAAATATGCCATTTTAACTCCATGTCCCTCACTCGTGTATGCTGATTATATGGCATCTTCGTCCGACCTCGTTTTCACCTATTTCGAATGCGTACTAAGAATAAACCCAATAAATATTCCAGAGATATATAACTGAAAGTGTAAAATCATTTCATTTGTGTAGAATGCACGATGTGTTCTTGGTCTCAGAAAAACACATCCATAAACCAGAGGTTTATGAATTGCCTTAAATGATGCAAAACGTAGTGAATTTCTCTGGCTTCACTGTAAAAAGTCTTTTATACTTTAAAGATTACGTAGATATTGACAACTGAAATTTCATACTCTTCTTTCTTTAAATCATACAGTTAATTGTCTAGTTAGATAAATACAGGTACATAGATAAACTTAAATGATACTGAATTCACTTTAAAGGAAAATACCATCTATAAAAGACATTTCTAATTTATGTTAATTTTACTTACTACAAGCGTGTTTTTCAGGAACGTAAATAGTATTCCCAGGACATGAACAATAGCCGGCACCAGGATGACAACTGCTTCGATTCACATGAACACAGTCACGATCTACTCGACATTTTAAATCAGTTAGCACTGAAAATAAAAAACAGATCAAATAATAATATATCTATTGAAATCTAATTTATGACTTGAATTTTTTCTAAAATTTCATTTGCGAACTAACGAAGCAGATATTTAACATTGATAATTTTATTTAAGTATTGGAAGTGATTTAGATTTATTAATGCTTGCCAAAAATCTAGTCACAGTCACCGTTCGAGTTAGCACATGAGTAGACTTGATGCCAGCTGGATCCGAGACTAAAGCGCATCCAAACTTGTTTCCTACCAGATAGGAAACATTGTAAATTACTGACAGTCTTTTTAGTATTGATTTACCGGTTATTTAATTAATGAGACAGTCAATTTTTACTGATATATTATGGACAAAACAACATGATAAGAATGCATCACTGATCAAGAGTTTAACATCCATGAAATGGTGCTAACATTAACAATAACTGTACATAAATATCATCCTCTGAAAAATTTTCAGAACAAATCGATTCTATAATATCTCAATAGAAAAATTGTATATGATCGAGCATTATTTTTACTTTGGTTGTTATCAGATGTTATGTAGTTCCATATTGCTTCTTAAACAATCATTTTTTCAATAAGTAGTAGTATGGTATTGTGACTGTGTCCAGAGCAATAATCAATAAACAATGTGGACTTTCAAGACAAATATCCCTTTTATACAAAATCAAAACAAGTTTGTTACCATTTTTTGGGTGAGTTAAGCTTAATTAAAATTATCATTCGATAATATAAAAATATTTATAATCTGATGTACATTAAGAATCACATTAAATGTTTTATCAAAAATCAATATGAATTTGATAAACAGGAACAGGAATTGACATTAGTACTCAGAAAAATTAAATTTATCAACAAAGGAGCTCTGCCGATATTGTTCGTCTTGTAGATTAGCATCACCATTTGATTTCATCTAGTCAAACACAATCGTAGAATACACTTTATAATTTCTTGTCCCCACAGAACTTCTTGCTTAAAGGTGATACAAATTTTTAGCTAGAGTAATTTTTGAAAGATTAGACTGCTTATTAATTTTATCTGAAATACCAGTGCTTAACAAAAATTCAAGTTCATCATCGAGTTATTATATTTCCATTAAGGTTATTCAATAAACCAGATAATAAGTTAACAACATAAATATCAAGTTGATCATTAGTGAGAAAACTTTACATACTAATTTTAAAGTATTTCAATAAATATCATATAAAACAAAATTCTTAGATTTCTTAAAATTTTCACTGCTATGAAGTGATGTATTTACTTGACAAAAATACTGGCAGAGAAAAAAGATTTAAATAAATAAAATTTGAAAAAAATATTTTGATGGAATTCCTTACGCATTTTTTCACATAGTCTAAAATGGTTATTTTCATTAAAATGAATTAATGAAAAGTTTCTTAAGTAGTCTACAAAAATTTCACTATTCTTATTCAACATGACAAGTCAAGCAGAATGACAATTTAATTTAACTTGAATTATTTCTCAGAATGGTATTTATTTGACAAGAAAAATAAATAAATAAATGAACTTGATCAATAACGTTAAAAGTGCATCCGTTCAACATGCTTTTGATGGATTTTCATTTTGCGCCTATGAACATAAAAATTGATTGATGTAAATGGGAACTTTCATTTATAATCCATCGACTACGAATTACAACTGTGGGAAGTCGCGTTCTTTCAGAATCAATCATAATACGATCACAAGGCAACCGACTGATTGTTAATTCCTTTTATATTCTCTTGATCGAGGATTCGTATCATGTAAGTGATTGTCTGTTAATTATATCAGGGTACGGCATCAATATGCTAACTCTGATAATCTTAGAAAAAATATGTGCATCTTTAAAGAGTTAAAATATTTTCTCGTGTTGCTTATACGATTGTATAGTATTTTTAAGTAGACTAACATTTCATAAACCTAGAACAATCTAAAATTTATTCAATGAAACTAAACCAGCATATAGCCATTTTTCCCAAAAAGATAGTGAATAGTTTACTCACATGTTTTACATGTAACTCGGCCATTTTCACGTATTGCAACAAATCCTTTCCGACAAAAGCATTCATTTTTCTCACGATTACAAACACTATTCTCCACTTGTCTTGAACAAAAATCTGAATCATACTGAGTGCAAGCTCCTGAATAGACAAGATGATCATTTGTGAAAGCATTGTTAAATATCACAAACAGATGAATATTTATGATGATAAGTAAGTGATGCAATGGAATCATAAATAAAGATTTTGCAAAATATTTGTAGAAATTATAGAATAGAATTTTATAAGTTGGATACAGTAAACTGTAATAAAGATCATTTTCCTACTGTTTAAAACAAGTGAATTATGAAGAATATTTCTAATAAAAAGGAACTCTTTAGTATCTGATTGGTTCATCATTTTAGCCAATGAGAAAATTAAAATTTTAAACTACTTTTGAAAATAATATTTTTTCACCGTTAAACTCATGTTTTCTAGCTATCATTCTTCTATTTCTTTTGACTTGAGTAAAATATAATAAATTCCTTGTAACCGGTTGATAGTTCCAGGAAAAAATTATGTGCGTAGAACATAACTTATGTAAATGAAACGTGTTATATACACCTCTTAAGGTGGATAACTGATTCAATACTGATCCAACGTTTCTTCAGTCAATGACGGTATAAAAGTGTATTGGAACCACACATTATCAAACTAGCAATAAGATGTCAATGAAATAACCTCAGTCATTTGAAAAACACTGTATTAATTATCGTACTACTGACAAGAAATTTTTAAACTATCTTAGAAATGACGTTTTTTACTCTTAAATCCGATATTCCAGCCAACAAAAAACCTAATCATTCATTAAAATACCATCCAGAAATAAAGTTCACATCTTTAGCTTTTATATTGTAAAGCATTTATGTATCACTGAACTCTCAAAAATAATGTAATCAAACTGACTTTGTTTTTTTTTTCACATCCGCTAATCATTCGTATTGATTATTTTATATGATATGATTAACGATCTAAATACATGAATGTTGTAGTTGACATTCAAAATAAATCTGGATGGACAAGGTTTTTTAGTAGGTAGATAAGTTAACAAGGCATTGTATTTTTTTTACATGAGATGAAAGTACAATACGAAAACTATAACGATGGAGTTTATAAGCTTGGAATTAATACATCCGTCCTATGACACAAAATTTAGTTTACGTATTTAGGTTTAGTTTAGGCATTCTGACAAGCTTTATTCTAGGTTCCTGTTCGCCTGATCTATTGATACTCTGTTCTGGATTGTGAATACTTAGTCCTAAGATTCGCAAACATTACGGAAATCTTTGCCTTACTGCTAGTTGAAAGATTTATCAGACATTATAAATTATGAGGTTAGTTTGCATTTTTCTTGCGCTATTCACCTAAAATACCTGTAGTATAAATTTAGCAATAAATACCGCTTTGAATTCAAGTTTGGAGGAATATTTTGTTGATAACAACTTTATGAATTTCTATTACATCCGTGCAGACAAAATTATTGAATAATTTTATATTTATTTACTAACTGAAATTTTTCTTCTGACATCAAATACTATTTTGCTTATTTGTACACTCATACTGGTCGTTTAACTGTGACCAAGATATATTATATGCAAAGACTACTGCATTGAATTTCCTCCTTATTGATTCATTATACTAATATAGAAATTGATTTCTTTGGATGGAATAAAGTGATTTGTAATGACAGAAATAATACATTTTGCAGTTTTCTGTATAACACAACACAAGAACTAGTTTTTAATAGAGCAGAAATATTAAATGGACCCACGAAAATTATATGAATATCAATGCAGTGAATGATTCAGTCACTAAAATGACGAATTACGAAGACCGATTAATAAATGGTGTTCTTATTCAGGTCACTGTTTTGAAAAATTAACGCGAATGACATGTCGAAACTTCACACTGATGTAAAATATAAAATTGGTGAAATAAATTGACAGCTGTCGACATTTTGATGAATTAATGTCCCTTCTATGGGCGGTAAGAAAATTCAATCAGTCAAGGAATTATTATCTCGGTAGTGTAACTCGTCAATTCATGAATAACCTACCTGATCAAACTTATGATATATGGTTAGTAATTTCCTGTAGATTTCATAAAATTGTGTACTTAAATTGCCTTGAATCATGGCGATCTCTAGTCCCTCAATGTTCAACGCTTTTTGTACGAAGTTCAATAATATTTATTGAGAAAACTTAGATTTTGTTTTCTTCGCATCATAAAGCAGTCTGTTGTAAGTTCAAATATCAATTTTGGTTTTCGGTTTTTTGATTATTTTTTAGTGATAACTGCAGATACTGATTACCTAGAATCAGATAACCAACAAAATTCACGTAAAATTTGGTGCTTCATTTGTATTTGTTTTTCGAATCTTCCCATTGATGTTTAGGACTGCAAGTGATCAGTCTTCAATGATAATATATGCCTGGTATGTTGATTGATTCGATAGTCCCAGTTATGAAGCAAATTACTATAGAAGAGATGGAATGTGACTAGCATCGGGATCCAGGATGCGTGTCAATTCCTGTATGATATATTACAGACAGATTTACTTGCCTCCAACAGTTAATACTGATTGGTGAGTACCATACCGGCCAAATCAGGCATCTATAACTGCACTACTAGCCACCATCGTTTTCTGCTTATAATTAGATTCGTAGTTATATTTTGATACTCTGAAATACTGACAAGAATTTCCTTAGCTTTGTATACGATCAAACTTAGATAAATCAAACTTTTAAATGATAGAATGGACATCATTTAGGTCCAACAGTTAAAAACTAATTAGACCAAGATTAAGAGATATGAATAATTTATAATGTTTGATTATTTCTGACATTTAATGATGTTGATTTAAAGGTAGTAAGTTTGTATATTAACGTTCTACCTAATTCATCTGACTTGTCTTTGATCTGAAATAATTCGACAGATCAAGATAATAGCAATAATCGATTAGTCATTGCTAGACCATTATTCGAAACCCGGAAGCACTCGACGGCTGTTTGGTTTCGGTATGGGATTCATCGACAGTGCGCACCTACTACTCCTGCACCTCGCAGGATTCTAACCTGGGACCTCCGGTCCTGAGCGCGAAGGTCGAACCTCTGAACCTTTGGGGCGGCATCCAACGGTCTTAATGTCTAACTCTGGTAAATCTAAGGATTTTGTACGACCTTACGTATTTGTCTTCAGTAGTTACTGCCTGCACCCGACAGGATGTAAGAACACTGATCTCCGTAACTGTAATTGAGAAAAAAAATAGCTGATCAGACTTTTTACCCCTGCATCACATGGATTATATCACACTGTTTACAGAACAGTGTTAATCTACATCATAATTTTCTGCAAGAATAAAAGTATGGCTTGATAAAAGAAAGTTGACTTAGTGCACGATTAAGAAATTTCAGCAGAAAGACCGTTATCTTAGAACTTTCGGTCACACAGCCTATCTATGGAAAATGCTTTCAGTCATTTGATGTAAACGTCGTGCAAAATAATAATTCACAAATCATTTCTATTAATATGCATTCATACTGATATATTATCAATTGACGCCAAAAGCTGGTCAATTTGGAATAAAATGTTTTTACTTACTAAGTTTCACATGAAGGATATGAAACCAGTTTTACTTTGTTTGAAGTTTTTTCGCATGTAGAATACTTTTAGTGGGAACGGTTTGTGTATGCGTATAAACAATAATTATATATATATATATATATATATATATATATATATATATATATATATATTATTTAGGATATTATTTTCACAAAAATATTCCACTGATAAAATCACTGTTAGTTTAAGAGATTATTAAAAATCATCCACTGTGTAGTTTAGTTTTCAGTTTCATATGACGTTCGCTGATTAAGGAACAAAGTATAAAAATATCAGATACTTGATTATGCTATCTTAAAGACTAAACGGATTTCATAATTAAATTTAATAAGCATTAAACTTATTAATCACAGATTACTTATGCTTATTTAACTATAGATTTTCATTGAAACAATTATGAATACACTCTCTGTATTGCACTGATTTCAATAAGCAACGTTTATGACATTAAATTAGGAAAATAGAAACTATTTTACTCCTGGGAATTGAGCTGATCTATTTGTAAATTAATAATCAACTTAATGTTAGTAGCTGTAAAAAATTTAACATTTTAATCCGTTTTTATGTAAGTATAAACTACACTGAACTTCAGAGTAGATTATGCATTTACCTTGATGATACATTAACTGAATGTAACAAACGGGGAATGTGAATTCAAAAAATCAAATTTGACTGGGAAAATAACAATTAGATATCAAAGACTTATGAAACATTAGGTGCTGTCGAAAAAATGCTTAAGTCAATTATAAAATGAACTTAAGGTTAATTGATTCAAAAGTAATTTTGCTCATTTCAATTATATATATATATATATGTATCTTGTTACAAGTGGTAAGTTCGATCAATTTCGGCTTATGTCAGCAAACTAAAAGGACTGAAACACACTAGAGATAACAGTAAAATACCTTACTTTTTCAACCGCTTATATAATATCAGCAACCATGTTTTTGTTTTGTTTGGATTACCTAATAAAAATGTCCAAATAGATAATTTTGTCCTGTTCATAAATTATTGTTATAATATATATTTATTTCAATTAAGGACGTGAACTATTAATTATGACACACGACTTATGTTTCGGGAACAAAATTTTACTTTTTTCTGATGTAACTAATGTTAAGCACAACAAATTATACAAAAGTTAAAATAAAGCATTCACTATCTCGATTAGCATAAGAATGAGTGTTCAGTCATTGTAGTGATTTAATTAACACAATTCTGACCACAATTTATTGACTTCTGTCATTGTTTTCTTTTCAGTAACGATTTATTACGTTGTTTTATCATTCCTGTCGTTCTACATTCAACTAAGTTTTGGAATTTTGTGAATTTTTCCATTTCATAGTTTATTATCATCTATAAAAATGTCTGACATAGTATCGTAAAATTCCGAACATCTATCGAAAAGCAGCTGATTAAGATTTTCATGTAAAACAGTAAATAGTTCAGTCTGACTGAAATGACGAAGCGACCAAAGTTATATAACGTTTAGAAACTTGGAAGCACTGGACAGCTATTTCGTTTCGGCATAGAACTCTCCCACGACTAAAGAAGTGAAGATCTCTTAACCTCTAAATCACCCTGCTGGAACTCAGTGGTATACAAGTCTAACTACAATCAGTCGACGATTGTATATCGGTCGCAAAGAGTTATGACAAATCCCACGTTTTACTATAGCAGTTGTAAGTTATTTTTGTTAAGTTAATATTTTCATTTAATTCGTTAAGTTGGCAATTATCTTCGGCATCTCGCTTTTATTTAATATTTTCATTCTTATTACTCTTTGAGTATTATATAACTTTATTCGGCACTAAAAAAATGTTTTGCTTTACTTTTGGTAAGTTTTGATAGTAATAACACAACAGTTTTCTACTACATAATATCAGTGAGGAATAAACATGATGATCTAATTAGAAACTAATGTAAAAAGTTATATGATGTGAATCATATAACCATAAAAAAGATTGTAGGCAAATGAGAAAGAATGTAAAACTACTCTGCTACTAACGAATTATAATGTGAGCAGAGTAAGATAGTTGGAATATTATGTCACAATAATTAAATTAGTTAAAGAAAGTAAATGAAATGAAGCGATGTCAGAAACAACTAAAGATGAAGTCATAAGGATCAAAGAAAAAGTTGGCGTAAGAAGGATATTTTCAAATGCTAAATCAATAAAATGGAAATAAAATAGTAATTGCACCAGTATGAATAATTTTAAACCGTAAATAAATGTAACCATAAAACATGCTTCTCTTGTAAACAAAGCTAAGCCTCTATTTCATGAATCGAAAGAGCATATTCTGTATTAAGGAACTGAATAACAAGATATCTTGGTAAGTTTGAACGAATCTATGAATAAGTTTCAAACCAACATCTAGATCGTTGGAATGATTGAAGTTCGATAATTGTCCGGGAGCAGAATTACTAAACGATCTCTTCTGACATTGATAAAACCATATTTTAATATGCTCGGTTAACAGTGTTGAAAGTCATTGCTGTTTACGACCTATGTGCACTGATCCACAAAGTCAGATGAAATGATAGATGATAATAGACTTTTATGAGTAAAATAACTATAAATACGATTGTAAACCCCTAGTACATCCTATCCTTATGTAGTAAATGTACATTTCAAAACTGTCTTTATTTTGTCTGGTGAGATAACGAGTTTCTTTCGTTATTTATCAAATCCGTTATTTGTCCAGAGGTCAGACTGTTGCTTCAAATTTAACCTTTTGCTTATATAGCTTCCTACCTTTTTCAATAAATAATAAATATAGCCAAAAGCTATATATGTACTTTGTCATATCAGAACGCAGCAGAGTTTAATATGATTCAATATGATTTTATCACAGATAACTAAGTAACACCTCCATCGAATACAGAAAAAAACGCGTTCTGACAGAATAGGACTGTTAAGCTTCAAAATTTTTTCAAAATACTTGATATCTTTAAAAGTCATACCAATCTATGAAAGGTGTAAGAGCTAACAGATTTTGTCAATAAAAGCACTGGATATTTATATGGGATGATCTAATGACAGTTCTCGATAACTTTTTGCTTTTCTCTTTCCGGAACGTTCATCACTGTGTTCAATAAAAATGAGGTCGATTGTTAAAGGTGTACATGAAAAAATATAAAAGCAGGTAAATGAAACATGTATAAACAACATAAATAGTACACTTCGATAAAATCAAGTGTATATTTATCAAATTTTTATAAACAAATTCATATAATTCATCTATTTACATACAAATAAAATCACATTGGTTCTCCATTTGGAAAACATATAAAATATTGTCTATGGTTAGATAATGGGGTATGCTACTGTTACTTAATTTCTAACTGGAATAGTATTACATTAAGAAAACATACACATTTTGGTGAATTATGGATCTATACTTAGATGGTTTGATTAAGGGACCTCAAAATGGAGATTGTCGCTGATGAGGGTGTTCAGGAAACTTAGGGAACGGAACTCCATCTATCTGAGTTATAATTCTTCTGCCACATTCACATATTCACAAATTCTTGAAACATGATTTCCAGTTTGAAAAGTTCAACTGCAAATGAAATTTTCCCTTCCAGACAAATCTTTATGTATTAGTATAAGGTCATTGATCAGTAAATCTTATTATTATGTCGTGATGTATATAAAAATAAGTTACCGACCTGTAGTATCATAGGTTCAATAAGTTTTGTAGCCGTCAAGTTGTTCATGGAAAATATTACAAATCTAATCAGGTTTTATCAGTAATTTGAAATTTGATTATTCTAGCCACAGATATGACAATGAAATCTGGATAGATAAGTATTTTATGACCGGAATCTCAAACGCGGCAGGCAGTTACACTCATGTTTAGTATCAGTTGACAGAATCGTGTTAAGCTAAAGCAAATACCCTGATTAATTTTCTTTAAAAATATATACTACTTATATTTCTTATTCAGTAGTATGAATAGGTTTTACAATAATTTTTCATTCTTTCTTGGAACGTCGCACAAGGTTTATGGGAATAAACACACACTAATTTACTTTAGTTGATATTTTAGATGTAGCATGATCAGAACGCATTCCATGTCTTGAAAAAAAGGACTGAAATTAACCCAACACATTGGACAATATTTTTAAATGATTTTTATTCAAATCCAGTTCTCGTATGTGCTCTCATTAACAATGAATTATTTAAACAATATTATTCTATGGATTTATAGTAGTTACTTGCTTTAATTTAGGTGATACAGTAATACTGTGATCTACGAAGCGTTTATATCCCCATTATATTACCAAAAACTGTCGAACGGAACTGGAAAACCTAAGTGACATATCGAATTTTTGTGCGTAAATTACTTTATTTTCATAATCTCCAATTTATTCGAATCAATTTAAATGTCTGACAATGGAATTTACAGCAGTGCGTAAACGATTTCAGAAGGTAATTGGTTAGACGAACTCTAGCTACCCTCCATGCGTAACCAGGAGTTCAAAAATATATAATTACTCACTTGTGGTTTCAAAATATGTTATAAGAAATGATGATTGAATATAGAGAAAAACAAACCAAAGAACTGACTCTTAATAAGAACTAAGTAGTATAAGGTCGGCATAGTTCCAGTGTTTTTGGATTTAAAAAATTAATGTGATACAAATGTAAGAGAAAAGTATCTGAGGCATTTTCAATGCACACTTGAATGTAGATCACTGACATACAATACATTTGTATCGTAAGTGTTAATTGAATTCAAGTCAAATTTTTTCACTCTTCCTCATATATGAGGTTACATATTGGTAAGCATCGATCTTTGAGAGTTTATTTATAGCAATAAATGGCTTTTTCAAGTAAGTTAGAGTTAGATGACTTGGACAAATTAAAACGTTAAACAGTGATAACACATATGGAAATAATATATTAACGGACAGCTTGTGATATCTCTATCAGCTACTATCACTAATTTCAAGACTTATATTGAATAAGTTGAAAGTCACAAGCTATTACCAGTAATCTTATCATGATCAGTGGTGGCATTAGAATCACATGCAAGTGCTACACTCGTAGATTTAGATTCCCGTTCAGACATAAGAGATTAGAATTCATGGTGTTCTAGGTAAATTACATTTTTCACTTTGTTAAGATTCAGAGCCGACGCTCTTACTTTCTTTACTTTTATACGTAGTATTCACCAGAAGAATATATTGAAGCAAATATCATTCAGATGTGTAAAACGTATGATTTGTAACAGCGTTTCTAGTAAAGAAACTTTGTATTTGCTAATTATTAGATATGATTAGACATTCGATATCAGTATACAATAAAACTTCAGAAAATGCAATACGACCAGTTTCCTATTTTAATGAAACTGACATTGTTGCTGGTATTATTAACAGTGCGAATAATATATTTAATACGGCTGATCAACACATATTATCACGAACAGTTAGACTGATATGTTGACTTACCTATAGCCAAATTTTCAGTTTTTTGGAATGACTTTTCCTCAGTGGTAACAATAAACCAAAAGTTAATTAATTTGAACAGAATAATCGGCAAACGTTTGTGGATAAGCATCTTATTTAAACGTTTTCCAACGACCTGGAAGTATGCACATTTCTAAAATTGGAAAATGAAGTCGATTAAAATGATTAACGGGAACATTGACATTTGAAAAGCTTATAAATTTCAAGGATTTTAACATATGCCAATAAAAATAACCGTCTATTTTTATTTTGAGCTTAAACAGTTTAAATGTTTTGTCTAGTTAGTGTTGTTGCATCAAGGTTCCTTTGTACAAGGTGTATTGTTCATCTTACATCCAATGCTTCCTTATTCTGGATTACGACTGACAACAATCCAAGAGGATCTCCAGAAAAAGTTTTCTCTGACATATGAAAATTAGTCGCCCTGTGCAACAAATTCAGAGCCTTCTTCAAGCAAAACCAAATATTTTACATGATTCACTAAACATCTGAGTAAGTTATTTTAAAGTCATTTGTTTAATCGTAATAGTAATTTTGACCATTATTAGATAATACATTTGGTGATTCGAAGTATGGAAATACACTAAATCTATTATGATTACTGCCAACTGAGATATACTCTACTTAGAACTACTTTTAATGGTATTTCAATCAAAGTTATTAAAGCTTCTAACTATGACTGAAAAAAATACTTCATTCAAAGATAAACCAGAAATCTAATAATAAAATGTCTCAAAAATCTTAACGAGGGACCGAAATGTTTTGATTAATAGTGTTTTCGGTCTTTAGACCTTAAATTTCATAATTTTAACACATATTTCCTCTTTCTAACTACATGTTGCTATTCAGTGTATGATTTAAAATTAAATTATAATGTTTAAATTAATCCAATTTTTTACCGTTAAGAGACCCATGATAATCATGTCCGAAAAACCAGCATTCAACTCAATTTATAAGATTTCATCCAAAATACCTGAACAGTCGTCAGTTTACTGATAACCCATCAACAAAAGATAAAAAAAATTAAAATCCACGTTAGATTTATAACATCCACCTGCTATTATCTTGTAGATAATTTTCAATTTGAATGAGAATTCAGTACTTGTTTAACAAAAAAAGTGATAAATTATAAAAACGTTAAGTTTCTGAAATTTAAAAGCACGAGTCACTATTCAGAAATCATTTAGATAAACTTTGTGAAAAATAAAGATTTAATGTCTTACAAACTGAAAGTTTATTCAACAGGTCCATTAGCGCCAACCAAATACATTTATTCTTTCAGACATCAAATTTTGAAACTAATCCTTATGGGATGCAATTTCGGTCAGCATTATAGATTTTTCCAGTTTAAAAAATGGTAGTCTATGATTATTGGTATGATATGTCAATAAAAAATTATGACGAATTTCTTTTCGAATAACCAAGCGATATTTTAAGAGTTTAGCAGTAAAATAAGGAAAGATCTAATCTGGATTAGATCAGTTTTTCTGTAAAATGTCAAAAATACTAAATGCTTACAATCTGTAGTTTAATGGCTGTTATTTTTAACCAGTTTCTTTCTGTATAAACAATCGTCATGTTAGGTAGAAATATTTTTTTTAGAAAATTATCATAAAAAAGAAACCTTACACAAAATACATGAAAATTTGTTTACGTTTTCATTCATAATAATAAATTTAATTTATATTGATAAATACATTAACGAAAATATTTCGTTGATTGAATAATTGAGACAAAAAACCAAATGTAAAATAGGCCTTTTATTTATTCTTACATTGAAAGTATTCAAAACAAAATAATTCATGATTGAATGCTTATTTTGGATCTATTAAAAATAGAATAGTAAGACTGATTGATTTTAGTATCCATGTGTATAATTAAATGTTTAGTATCATTAAGTGTTTAATTGTTGAAGTCTTTTGTAAACCGAAATATTTTTGAAATATATATTAAAAGCAAAATAATATTATTTTATGAAATATTATACACACATCAGTTTGTCTGTAAGTAACTCAATTTCGGACGTTCACATAAACAAAACAATATAAGCTTTTTATTCAAAATCAAACGCTTGGCTGAAATTCAAATCAAATTGTGTTCTAACAACAAAATTCATTAGTCAATTATAGTTATCATATTACACAATCAAAAACTCCTGACTTAATTTCGTTTCATACTAGATAAAGAGTACTGTCCAGCATTTCCATAGCCTCTGTCATCCTTCGTTTTAGAGGATCTGTTGAAGATGTGAAAAAAGATTGATTGATTGATTCACCTACGCTTTAGTTTCTAATGACATGACTTTTCTGAAATCTATTCATTAAACATATTTTGGAATATTGCAGCACGCCTATGAAATTGAGTTATCACCAATGGTAATCATTCACTACCATAATTATTATAAACAGAAATGGATAGTGGCTAGCATTTAAACTTAGGACGCACGTTTCTTCTTATTTGTGATTCGTCAGCTGGATTTACTTATATCCCCGAGTTGATATTTACTTCTGTACAATGTCATTCTCCTCAAAAAACTATCACGTAATACATTGAGTTACCGAGTGCAGATAGCTACTGGCTTGTACAATGGATGTAGATACTTCGTGTGAAGAGTCCCAAGTAGCAAGAAACATGCACATTCCACCTGTTCTATATTAACTTGTACTATAGTGGGAATATAAAAACAATCCGTAAACAGTGCTCATATACCAATAGAGACTAATCATTTGTATCAGTGGGAAGATTCAAACAGACGACACAAATAATTCAAGTTTGATCACTAGATCAGAAAAACTGTTAATTCCTTCTACAAGGTATATTTTTAATAACTATTCATCCCTCCTGAGGTTAACTTATCATGCTTTCACTGGATAACTACTAGCTGTGTTTACTTTCATCTCATTGACTTTGTTTTTTAGTGTGGTTAGAATTCTACTGTCAAACAGATGGAAGATCATTCGGCATATTTCTAACTGATAAGCTGCTATCATTCACAATGAAAGATAGTTTCTTTTATTTGTGATAAAGTTGCGATAAAGCAGCACCACATTCATGTCTATTAGATAAAGTCATTTTTTATTTGAATGACTGAATCATTTTATTGATTTATTTTAAATGTGTCCACTGATGCTGTTTACAGTGTAAAATACCTTTTTCAAAGTTTACCATTAAACGTATTCAAGTTTATGCATAAACTAAGCAAAATATTATCATGTAAGTAGGAAGGATGAATAGCTGTTGAATAGTTGAGAAGAAAGAAAATAATAATAATAATGTATTGACCGAATAAATATTTTCCAGTTGAATTTGCAATATACAAAAGACTTCAATTAGAAAGTCTATAGCTCCCAAGTTCACAAGCGTAGAAAAGACAAAAAATAGAAGGAAATAAATTCCACTCCTAAAAAACAGTTCCTGAATACCTTTTCCAATTTTTTATGGAGCGGATTTGAAAAACCATGTCTCTACTTATAATGTATTTCCAGAAATTATTTTATATAATTAAGCATGTTGTGATTAATCCGTTGGTTAGACATAATCGGCAACAACCTACTGTGGGAGAGAACAAACCAGATTCCAGCTGAGAAAAAAGTAGGAAAATTCGCTGAAGGTGGATAGGACGCACATTGTGGATATCGCCCAACTGCATAACAAGACAAGTCCTAAATTGTATTTCTCAAGGCTGGAGGAAAAGAGATAGACCAAGGACATACTGTGCCGAGAATTAGAGAAAGATATAAAAACAATGAATAGTAATTGGTTAGAAATGGAGAGGAAGATCCAGGACAAAGTTGGTTGGAGAATGCCGATTGGCAGCCTATGCTTCATTAGGAGTAACAGGCACAAGTCAATAAGTAAGTAAATAATTAAGTAATGTAGTGATACTGAATATACTAACTTTAACATAAAGAGGCACTAGTTTTGATTGCAGCCCAACGAAAACGAATAAAAATTCTTCATTTTGAGTTTTAATTACGAAACTTATATTTTTGTTTTATAACAAAACAGACAAACTACTGCAATCTAATTTATATTTTGTTTAGCCTTATTATACATAAAATCTGAAATGTCGAAATACTAATGTTATTATCTATAAAAACATTAGCGATGAAAATTATTCTGTCAATTCCTTTGTATTCAAGATTCGCATTGTGAAAATTAGAACAACACATATAAGCGAACAATATTGTTTTCGATTAGATCGTCATCAGGCTTTACTCTAATATACATGAATATTGAAATGAAAATGTTAAACCAATCAAGGCAATTTGAGTGATAATCACAATGAAATGAAAAAGATTACGTAACGTGATTACTTGTAATAAATAAAACGATTCAGTATTTTCGACGGTAAAACTAGTGATATAAGCTTACGTATTCACATAATATCAGTGTATTCGTTTACGCGATAATTTATGTTGACTTCAAAAGATTAAACTAGTTACATGACTTGAGAATCCATTACCAGTCTCATAAATGTATCAAGTGAAACGCTTCATTGACTACTTAAAAATTGGGTTTTATACCACAAATGTTAAGATATTTAAAAACTTAATTTGTTATTAATGTCATAATTTCTAGTAGACAAACACCCTAAATCTATTATGTCTATGGTCATGTTGTTAGACCATAGAAAGTACGAAAGTCTTTGATAAAAACTTATTTCTCCTTTATTATACGAAAGGGTGATGCAAACTGTTCATTCTAGATACATCTGGTTCCAAAGTGCAATCTCAAAATTACTGCTGATGGCTTCCCGGAAGCAGTAATACGATACATCTAAATGTTATATTAGTTCTATCACAATAAATCGTGATAATATGTATGTTTAATGATGTTTGTCAGGCTATCCTGCAAAGTATTTATTGGAAGACACTTGTTATTCTTATTTGGTGACATTGATGGCATCGAAAAAAGGTTGAATTCTAAAGGTCAGGCGCTTCGGAGCGAGACCAACACTCTCAGGTTCAGCCTCTGAGGAGGTGATATTTACATAATGCTGAGTAGTCTTGTTGGAAGACGAAATGGCTATACATTGATGAGTTTCATTGTATTGTCTAAGTTAGGTTTGTTTGTGGTTTAATTAATATT